AATTGATTAAACTCAGACCGATTCAACTCAATATATCAAACTACATAACGGTTTTTCAACTGAAACTTTGTTTGAACCTAAAAAAATCTTGTTCAAAACCATTTTCGGGATTCTAAAACTTAAATGGACAGTTGCTAATAAAGACAATATCACCAAAAAATACCCTCAACATCCTAAAAAGGTAGGCATAAGGAAGTTCTCATGGTTTGGTTCCTTTGAAACATTTCACAACCTTTCCTATTTATAGAAGAGGAAACGTTCTCTCTCACCAACGATGTGGGATGAAGACATTGTAATAAAACACGCTTTCTTGTTTATAAAACATTATTCAACTTATTTAGTAATTCATTCCATTTCTCTTGTTTACCTTTTCTTTATTGTTCAATAGTTCCATTTTTCTATAATCTCCAAAAAAAAAATAAGTTTTTGTTGAATAACTTTTTGTTCAATTCTAATATCATAAATTCAGTTAGGTACTTAATATATAAAGTTTGTTTATATGTATTTCAAGATTCAAAAGTTCATTATAAAAAGAATTTTGTTGAAAAATGTTCTTATGTAACCTTGTATGTGACCATAACTGAAATAAGATGAACTGTTTTTATACAATCTAACAAATATTATCAGTTATTTCAGGTTGCATGAATGCGTGATAAAACGGAAAATACGAAAGCACGCGCATAGACGAGAAAATTAATTGTGTGACTAAAAAGTTTCACCAATATATATATATATATATATATATATATATATATATGTATTATATATATGTATGTGTTATATATATATATATATATATATATATATATATATATATATATATATATATATATGTATTATATATATAGATATGTATATGTGTTGAATAGTCTACAAGTTGAAAAGTCAACAAGGAAAAGTCAAGACACACAACTTACACTTCCTAGCTCTACAAACAACTTGCATACACCAGTCAATTACTTTCAAAAAATACACTCAAGTGAAGAAGATATTTGTTTCTCTCATATATGTATACGTGAGTATGTAGTGTGTGTGTGTGTGTTCATTTGTAATATTGTAACACTTCTACAAACTACAAACACTCCCAAGAACATCACAAATCTTCATCTTCCTCAAGAACAAAGACAAATCCCTGGAGCTAAATGAAGAACACCAAGATCAAACAAGAAGCTAAGTGAAGAACACCAAGATCATCAACAATGAAATGAAGAACACCATCAACCATCTTCATCTTCTTCATTGAAACTAAAGGTTTTTCATCTTCACCACCTTTGATCATAACATCATACACCACCAAACACTTTCCTTACATCAAAACACCAAAACACAACCATGAAACAACCCAAAACCTTCTGCATCAAGATCAACCACAAAACCCATCACTATTCATCATCATCTTCATAAGAAATTTCACCACCTTTACCACCTTATATCAACCTCCTTCCAACCTCTAAACAACCTTGAAAACATCCTCAAAACACCATAACACCATTACCCTAGCCAAAACATCACAAACAAAACTTACCTTCAAATCACAAAAATCCCGAAATTGACTCTGACACGAACACGCCCCGTGTTAAAAACCAAGGCAAAATCACATGCCCCGTGTTGCCCTCTGATTGCCTTCTTCATACTTCTGAACCTCAACACGCCCGTGTTCAGCAAGGCTAAATCAACACGCCCCGTGTCAGCATCAGCATCATGAACACGCCCCGTGTTCAGCAAGGCTAAATCAACACACCCCGTGTCAGCATCATTCATCAAGAAAACCCTCCAAAACCCTCCTACACGACCCGTGTCACTTGTACCTTATCTTATACGACCCGTGTGCATGTTTTTACCCAAAAATACCTCAAATACAAATACATAAACCCATGTATTTTGTACCCTTTTGTAAACACTTGTTTTACATAAAATCGAGCTTTAAATGAACTTTTTGTTACTTATCCAATGCCGGATTGATCTTTGAACAAATATCGACCAGTCGCTCCAAGAGTCCCAATATCGACCAGTCCATTCAAAGAACAAATATCGACCAGTCGCTCCATGAGTCCAGTTCAGTCAATTTATTGACGAACCTACTTGATATATATTTATATATTTATATACTTTATTATAGCTTTACGTCATTTAAATATAGTCATTTATATTATTTATAGTTTTATGTCATTTAAATACAGTCATTTATATTATTTATAGCTTAACGTCATTTAAATACAATCATTTATATTATTATAGCTTTCAGTCATTTACAGCTTTCATATTTATACTTATTCCGCAATTATTATTCTTTATATATATATATATATATATATATATATATATATATATATATATATATATCTTATATCTTAAACTGATATATCTGTCATACAGTAACTGGTAACCGAGCCTTTTGTTGTGGTGATCAGATTGTTATATTTCAAACAAATCGGTATCTGAGCTGATATATAAAAGGAATAATATCCAACAAATTCATTTATAAAATATAATATGCGTATATATTTCGTGCTTTTGATCAAATCAAATTTTCAAACAATTATAATTTTATATTTAGGTAGATGTTTTTTTATATTTATATAACATTATGTAACTTTTTTAAAATATCATTAGAAACAATTTGAAAAATCATCAGAGTTTCAAATGTATGTAGTGAAAGGAAAATGCTTCTTTTGTGGTCCAAATAGATTAAACTCGGACCGATTCAACTAAACATACCAAACTACTTATTTTTTTTCTAGTGAAACCTAGTTTGTATATATTTCGTGCTTTTGAATCAAAGTGATTTTTCAAACAGTTATAATTTTAGGTTTAGATAGATGCTTTTTTATATTTATATAAAATTATGTAACTTATTTATAATATTATTATAAATAATTTGAAAAATCATGGGAGTTTCAAATGTTTGTTATGAAAGGAAAATGATTCCTTTTATCAGTCCAAAATGATCCAACTCCGGTTCAACTCAATATACTCAACTACATAATTTTTTTTCCAACTGAAAAACGGTTTAAACCTGAAAAAATTCGGTTCAAAGCCATTTTTGGAATTCTAAAAGTTAACTGGACACTTGCCAATATAGACAATCTCACCAAATAATACCTTCAAAATCCTACAAAGGTAGGCATGAGGAAGTTCTCATGGTTTGATCTCTTTGAAACATTTCACAACATTTCCTATTTATAAAAGAGAAAATATTCTCTTGTTTATTCTCACCATCGATGTGGGATGATCACATTGTGATGTGGGATGATGACATTGTAATAAAACACACCCTTTCTTGTTTATAGAATATTATTTAACTTATTTATAATGAATGTAGTGAAAGGAAGTTAAAAAATAGGGTTTCAAATGCATGAAAGTTCAAGAAAAAATGCTAGCTTTATAAGTATAAGTATGTATGATATGATATGATGTTTAGTAACAAATAAATTTTATCCTACCAAGTTTCAATTATTGTCCGAACCTTAAACGTGTTTTTATTGATCAGTTCTTTTTTTTTTACCCCGTCTTCAAAGTGTTTCTATTAATCGGTATTTTATTCTTCATTCCACTTTTCTTTATTATTTTATTTATTAGTGATTTTTTTATTCCTCATTTCTATATAATTGTTTTTTTAATTAACCAACTTTTTTTCCCCTTTTTAATTCGTCCTCACCCTACTTAATTTATCATTTTTTGTCAATCAATTGTATTAATTTTTTCCTAGTTCACTCTCATCCATTTTTAATTGATTAGTATTATTAAAATTTGTTTTATATATATATATATATATATATATATATATATATATATATATATATATATATATATATATATATATATATATATATATTATTTAATTTTCGTTTTTTTACTAGTTGACTCTCATCCATCTTAATCGATTAGAACACCTTAGTGGTAGTAACAATATTTTTATATACATATAAAAAATTATATTAAGGTTGTATTTTTATTTTTCGCACAGGACCTTCGAAATCAGAGAACCGGCCCTGACGAACTTAACGGAATAAATAAAACTCAAAATTTTATTTATCGGATTTTACTTTTGTTGATTAGAAAATAACGGGTTGTTACATTTTATGACATAACATTGTGGTGTGACCGTTTAGACCTCGAACCAGGGCCTATTGGGCTTTTAAAATTCCGGTCTAAAGATGTTTTATCTCATTCGTTTGAAGTTTGACTAACAATGGATCTTTTTCAACGTGTAATTTAAAGTTTGTATTCAAATTTAGGTTGTAATTTCATCATTTTTTTGTTACATATTCAAGGAGTTACAATGCCGCTACATCAAAATATCAAAACTAAAAGATTTTGGCTTTTCATATACTCTGCTTCAACGACTTGTATCATAAGCAACTAATGTTGTACTGATACAAGAACCAAAAAACCAGTATCAGTATTTGTATGCCTACACATGTCCGGTCCACCGGCCACACTTTCACCTTAAATCAGTCCAGCCCAAGAATCGGTTCCAAGATAGTAGTCCGATATGATCCAAGTGCTCACCCCTACTTCAACCTATATTTCAATGACCAATTTTACATTTTTGTCATCGGATGGTTGCTTATACCATATAATACTTTTCTCACACCTCTTATATCCTTCCTCAGGATCATTGGACATGAATGCACGTTTATTTATAGGTGGAACAAAGCTGTAAACTGTCTGTCTTATTGAGTCCGATCCAATCAAATTCATGTCAAACTCAATGAAGGCCATTCTATTTATAAATCATGTCCTACATAACAAATGGGACCTACAAGATATGAGGAAATCATCAAATCATGATGCTAACAGTATAAGAATTAATACAAGTACAACCCAAGCGTATTTTATAAAAACTATGCTCTCAATTTTCAACAAAATTATGTCCTTTAGCTACTCAAGAAAATGAAATCTATTTTAATACACAAACAAAAACCATACCTATGGCAAAACCCTGTAATCTAACTTCTTTAAATTCAAAACCATCCGAATTAATTTATAGAAAGTTAACAAAAAAAAAAAAAAAAAAACACCACCACACATCCACACCCTGAAACGAACTATGCCTTATGCTTATCCCATACTTTGTCTAATCCTGATCATTCGTTTCAGTGTTGCTAACCAGAAGCTACACTCGTCCCATTCACTGGTGGTAAGATCCACCTAAAAAAAAAAAAAACAACACGATCAGAATTCAGAAGGGCATTCATGTCTTTTTACATTTTTGAGTGTGAGATAATAATATAATATTATAATACCTGGATTTTGAGGGCTGTAGTGAAGTCGCCATGATTTAATGCTTGACATAACTGAACAAGTTTTTCAGCAGCATTTTTGGAAATATCAGAATTGTTTAATTTCACAAACAAAGCACCGAGTTTCTTTGAGTTGTCATCAATCTCTCGTTTCTTAGCTGGAACTGCACGTGAACCTCCTAAAGCCTCTGATGTCTCGTTGAACAGTCTAGTCAATGTCCCAATAACCGGCTTCTGTTGGGCTGCAACACAAAACGTCAAAACTTTTCTTTAAGACATAATTGCAAAAATGGTCCCTGTGGTTTCTCATTTTATGTGACTAAGGTCCAAACCTTTGAAAAGTTGCAAATTTGGTCCTTTTCAACAAGCTCTGTTGTGGTTTTGGTCCCTCTCTTGTTAATTTTAACTTTTTGAAAATGACAATTTTACCCTCAGGGACCATTTTTGCAGAAATGGTCCTTGTAGTTTCTCATTTTATGTGGCTAAGGTCCAAACCTTTGAAAAGTTGCAAATTTGGTCCTTTTCAACAAGTTCTGCTGTGGTTTTGGTCCCTCTATCGTTTAACTTCAACAGTTTGGCTGTTAATTTTTTTGAAAATGACAATTTTACTCTCAGGGACCATTTTCGCAGAAATGGTCCTTGTAGTTTGGTAAAACTGTCATTTTCAAAAAAATTAACAGCCAAACTGTTGAAGTTAACAAAAGTGGGACCAAAACCACAACATAACTTGTTGAAAATGATCAAATTTGAAGCTTTTCAAAGGCTTGGACCTTAGCCACATAAATGAGAAACCACAGGGACCATTTTTGCAATTTCGTCTTTCTGTTAATTTTAACTTTCAAAAATAATTCTTACAATAGCATCCACAATAGGAAAGTGAAAAACATTTAAGATATCTCCACAATTATTTAAATGAATATAATACTATTAGAATTATGAAAAGCTCAATACCAGGAACATTTGACACGTCAGCAGTCTGTACTGTCGGAGGAGGGGTGGCAGGAGGTGGTGCAGCAGACTCGGGGCCACTGTTGGGTTGCATTTGACCGGATCCTGTTCTTTGCATTCCTGTATTGTTATTAATAGGCATGAATCCTCTTACAGGAGGTGTGGGTCCCACGTCATGGAGTACCTTTGGCCCGGTGGTGGGGACCATTGGAGATGGGACCGGGGCAAAGGAACCAGGCCCCGGTGGGCCCGCTTGATAATTGGAATTTGCATTCAACTGAGATTGCTGTTAAACATGGTGTTAGAATTAGAAATTAGAATCATACTTATTTTTTATAGAGTAAATTACACGAATGGTCCCTATGGTTTGGGGTAATTTGCACGCTTGGTCCCTAACTTATTTTTTTAACTCGGAAGGTCCCTACTGTTTGTTTTTGTTGCGTGTTTGGTCCCTGTCTTACCTAAAAAACTATTATTTAAATAGGGAAAAATGGTGGGGTGGGTAAGGTAAGTTGAGTGGGGTGGGGTGGGGTTGGGGTGTCTTTTATTAAATAAATTAAAAAATCAAGAACAAAATAGTCTTTTTAAATAAGACAGGGACCAAACACGTAACAAAAACAAACTGTAGGGACCGTCCGAGTTAAAAAAAATAAGTTAGGCACCAAACACGAAAATTACCCTAAACCATAGGGACCATTTGTGTAATTTACTCTTTTGTATATCAGGGAATGGAATTGGAATGGAAAGAAATACATACAGGATATAACTGAGAACCCAATGTGGGAGCTTGCTGATATTGGTCAGCATTTCTCATCATTGGAGGTGTCATGGGAACAAAGGGTCTTGCAGCCGGTTGATTTGCAGGTGGAGCTTGATTGAATCCCATCTAAAAAAAAATATATAAAAGGGTATTTTGGTCATTCGATAAAAGAACTGGAAGAATGTAGGAGTTAGGATCAATGATTTTCATACCTGTGGAGTGGGAGCTGCAGGAGATGGAACAAACATGTTACGTTGTGGCTGTTCATATTGGTTGCTGTAAGAAGGCCCAGGTGGTTGTTGATAGTTTTCCTGAATAAAAAAAATAAAATAAATAAATAATTAAGATGATAATGATACAACTCGTGTATAGAGATTAAATTACATGAATGGTCTCTATGGTTTAGGGTAATTTGCGCGTTTGGTCCCTAACTTATTTTTTTAACTCAGAAGGTCCCCTATTGTTTGTTTTTGTTACGCGCTTGATCTCTGTCTTACCTAAAAAGACTATTTGGCCCTTGATTTTTTTAATTTATTTAAATAAACACACCCCCAACCCCACCCCACCCCCCTCACCTTACCTTACCTACCCCACCATTTTTCCCTCTTTAAATAATAGTCTTTTTAGGTAAGACAGGGGCAAACGCGTAACAAAACAAACAATAGGGACCTTCCAAGTTAAAAAAATAAGTTAGGGACCAAGCGTGCAAATTACCCCAAACCATAGGGACCATTCGTGTAATTTACTCTAGATAATATAAAAAGCATAAATACCTGATAATAATTTTGAACAGGCTCCACAACAGGATTTGTTTGTTGGTTAGCAGAGTATACGTTTCCTGTATGTGTTTGAGAATATGCATAATCTGTAGATGCGTTTCCATTTATCTCTATAAGACAATAACAAACAACAAATTCATTCAGAATCTAGGTTTTAGGGTTTAAAATGTTGGGAAGAAGAATGAGTAGTGAATACCTGGTTGAGATGAGAAGGCAATCCGATCACGTAAGATTACAAGTTCAGGAGACAAATCTTCAGTTCCCATTAGTTTCAAATACTCCATAGCTGTTGATAAAAGTCCTTGACTTGCTAAAATCTCAGCATACTTCTCAACAAGTTTACATAAAGGAGCACTGAATCTCTTTTGTCCAGTTGCTAAAGCAAGGACTACAGTTTTCTCCATTAAATCCTTCAAATACATACAACTTACATATTATACCAATTCACCAAAAGGAAAAGATTATATATTCATTCGATTAAAAAAGGTTAAGGTAAAGGACTTTTACCTGAAGAAGATCAACATAGGATTTTCCCTCATGCTCAGTTGAAACCTTCTTTGACCAGATTTCTACAGTTTTATCGATATTTCCAGAGCATATGTAGCAAAGAGTTGCGGCTAAAGTGTTTCCAGCATTTAGGAGTCTAGAAGCAAGAGTATCACAGAGTGAAGTCCATTCATCTCCTTGTGCAAACTGTGATTACAGGGGGGTAAAAAAGTAATTAATATCATTGATTTTTCAGAATTGTAAGTTATTTTATTAGCTTACAGTGCAGAGGAGAGCAAGAGTTTCTTTCCAAGATCTGAGGGGCCTGATATTTACTAGACTAACAAGGTCATTATTTACCATTGCAGCAACAACCTGTCAAGTAGAAAATTATAAAATTAATAAACTAATGCAATTAAAAGTAGAAACTAAAAAAGCTGTGATTTAATAAACAACAAAGAAGAAAAAAAAACATTGTACTTTCATTGATTTGTTAACTATAACATTCAACTTCCATTTTTTTTCTATTAAAGCTCTAGTTTTAAGAATCAACCCAATACAAAGAAAGTTTCATTGTTTCATTGCTATAATTGGGTAGACTTTACAAAGAACAACTTTTTTAATAAATAATAAAATAAAATAAAATAAACTGAAAGTACAATGCTACAATTGGCTATAATTTTCAAAGTGTCTTGTGACTTTGTAGGATTTTAGAAAATCAGCCAAAAGATTGGCTTGGATCAAACACGTCTACTTGGTCAAAAAGTCAAAACTAATACAAAATGTCCTCATTTTATAAGGTTTTATACAGAAAAGTCCCATTATTTTGGGAAAGTTTTTGAAAAAGTCCTAAATCTTTTTTTTAATAGAAAAGTCCAGATTATTTAACATTTTGCCCAAATGAACGGAAAAGCGCTTTTTTAAGAGTAAATTACACGAATGGTCCCTATGGTTTGGGGTAATTTGCGTGTTTGGTCCCTAACTTATTTTTTTAACTCAGAAGGTCCCTATTTTTTGGTTTTGTTATGTGCTTGGTCCCTATTGTTTGTTTTTGTTACGCGCTTGGTCCCTGTCTCACCTAAAAAGACTATTTATCTAAAGAGGGAAAAATGGTGGGGTAGGTAAGGTAAGGTGAGAGGGGTGGGTGGGTGGGGTTAGGGGTGTGTTTATTTAAATAGATTATAAAATCAAGGGCCAAATAGTCTTTTTAGGTAAGACAGGGACCAAGTGCATAACAAAAACAAACAGTAGGGACCTTCAGAGTTAAAAAAATAAGTTAGGGACCAAACACGCATATTACCCTAAACCATAGGGACCATTCATGTAATTTACTCCTTTTTTAATTTAATAGGAAAGGACAGATTATGTGATTTTCCCAAAATAATGTGACTTTTCTATTTTCTACATAAAACCGTATTTTATCTATATTCTAATTCTTATTACTTTTGCAACCTTTGAAATAAATGAAAGTGGAATGCTATAACACAATAAACATTAAACTATGTTGATATTTCTTGCATTTAGCCCTTAAATCAAAGGTAAACAACATATAAAGTATAAAGAAAGAGAAGAAAAAACATGCCTTTAAGTATGGAGAAGTATTCTTTTTAAGGTACTGATCACGTGTGGTCTCCCACAGGGAAGCACCACCAACTTGAGCAATAACTAAAGCATCTGCCATCTTATTTGCAGCTATACACTGTTCAACAGCTCCCTTGTAATCCCCAACAACCAATGCCCGTTGAACACCATCATCAAACAAAGCATCTTGTGAATCACTTTCTCTTGTTGGCTCTTCTTCTTCAACAACTGGACCAGATTCTTCAGTGACAAAAGTGTTATGAGAAGTTGATGAAGGGGTCTCAGCTCTAGGAGTTGGGAAATTGTTGAAGAAATCTTCCCCGTTGTCAGAGGGGTCATTTGGTAATTTCAGTGTGAGGTTGGATTCTGTTACTCCTCCTTCTTTAGGTTCATCAATGTGGGAAGTTGTTATATCCTCAGACTCAGAGGGGTTGTTTTGTAATTCATTGTTTTGTGTTTCTGAAGGTAGAGTGAAACCAAGATGGTTTAATAGTTTTGTACGTGCAGTTCCATCTTCTTCAAACATAACCTTCAAGAATCCCCATGTTTCTTTGTCATCTTCAGATCTGTTTTTGACAATTCAACAAAATGTTTTTGTAAATAAATATAACTGATTTTTTCTTTATTTCAATATATATTATGAGGGTATTTTCGTGTTTCATGTTCCATTAAAAGACCAAAATACCCTCATAATATTTATTGAAATAGAAAAAAAAATTAAAAAGATACCCCGATTTTTTTTTATTTCAATATATATATTACGAGGGTATTTTCGTGTTTGATGTTCCATTAAAAGACCAAAATACCCTCATAATATATATTGAAATAAAAAAAAATAAATTAAAAAGATACCCTGATTTTTTTATTTCAATATATATTACGAGGGTATTTTCGTGTTTGATGTTCCATTAAAAGACCAAAATACCCTCATAATATATATTGAAATAGAAAAAAAAAAAAATTAAAAAGATAAACTGATTTTTTTATTTCAATATATATATTACGAGGGTATTTTCGTGTTTGATGTTCCATTAAAAGACCAAAATACCCTCATAAAATATTAACAGACCAGAATTGGAATTTGATATTCCATTCCATGATATGTTTGGTTGCCTTGGATTCCTTCAATTTTCGTGTTTAATGGATTTCACCATCAGAATTCAATGCCATTAAAAGACCAAAATACCCTCACAATATATATTGAGATAAATAAACCAAAACACTCTGATTTTTTTTATTTCAAAATATAAGGGTATTTTGGTCTTTTAATGGCATTGAACTATGATGGTGAAATCCATCAAACACGAAAATTGAAGGAATCCAAGGCAACCAAACATATCATGGAATAGAATATCAAATTGCAATTCTGGTGGATTCCATGAACCAAAAAGATAGTCTCAAATTTATTCGGAATGAGAAAAGTCCATAAAATTATTAAGAATACATACTCAGATTCTTGAGATTTTTTGTCACACAGTTGCCTCAATAAAGGCCTCTCTCCACTACTCATTGCAGCTTCGAATTCAGATGAGGTGCTAACTAAACTATGTTCAGTAACCAACTCATGCACATCAACCTGAAAACAGTATTGAAAAAAAACTGTTAAGCTAAAAATAACAGGGAAATTACAAAAAAATAGGAATGCAGTTTGCCTTTTTTTTTACCAATACGAGTATCTACATCAGTTTTTACAAATATGGTTAAAATCAAGGGAAATTAAGTAATCTAACCACTTTTTAATGTGTATTTGAAAAAATAACCCTTTTTTTGCAAAAATAACCACTTTGTCCGGAATGGGGTTATTCCGCTCCAAGAAAAAACATTCTTTTTACTTAAATTTCGGATTTCAGAAAAAAAAAAAAAAAAAAAAAAAAAAACCATCGATATTTCAAAAACAAGTATGAAATCGGAAGAACTCCGGAATTTCGAAAAATAAATAAATCATCTTTTACTTAAATTTAACAAAAAGATTTTAAAAAAACATAATAATATGAACTATATATGTTATTAGTGCATGAAATTAGACATCTTATTGAGAAACGGTGACATTGAACATTTCAAAATGTAGCATTTGGAATCCCAAAATAAAATAAAAAAATTTCTTTGAAAATTAAAAATAAAAAATATATATATAAAAAAAATCTGGAATATGAACAGTACTCCGGAATTAGGCATTCTGGAGAAAGTGGTTGTTTTTCAAAAACTGAAAAAATATGGTTATTTTCTTTGAAAACCTCATTTATAATGGTTGTTAGTTTACTCAATTTCCCTAAAATCAATATACATTGGCTATATTGGTGAAGAGGCAGAGTATGTTGCTCTTTTCCCACAATTTGCCCTGATGATAAATAAAAGAGAAAGGCAATGGAAAACCATTAGAAGTACCTCTGAAGCTCCAGATGAAGAACCAGTTGTGTGAAAAGAAACAAGTTTCCCACCAAAACCAAAAGACACTCCAGCTTTGCGTTGGTACCATTTTGGAGCCTTTAAAGGTGCTGCACAGAAATCATAAATATATAAAAACCAGCATATAATATGATACATATATATATATATATATATATATATGTTAGGGCAAAAAAAGAACACCAAAACTCAGAAATGAAAAAATATACAAGCCAAAGATAAGGCAATATAAGGGCATGTCTTTGGTTACTGGATTCTTATGAAATTGGAATTCGATTGGTGTGTTTTAAAAGGCCAAAGATAAGTGGAAATTAGGGCATCATTGGTTTGTGGATTCTGATGAAATTGGAATTCGAGATTCCATTCCATGGTGTGTTTTAAAAGCCAAAGATAAGGGGAAATAAAGGCGTCTTTGGTTGGTGGATTCCAATGAAATTGGAATTCGAGATTCCATTCCATGGTGTGTTTTAAAAGCCAAAGATAATGGGAAATAAAGGAGTCTTTGGTTAGTGGATTCCAATGAAATTGGAATTCGAGATTCCATTCCATGGTGTGTTTTAAAAGCCAAAGATAAGGGGAAATAAAGGCATCTTTGGTTGGTGGATTCCAATGAAATTGGAATTCGAGATTCCATTCCATGGTTTTTGGTAGCCAAATTTACAAAATTCAAATCTGTAGGATCTTTCGAAATATTTGTTTGGCTGGGTGGAAGGAGTTTAGATTCATTCGTTTTTATTTAAAGACCAAAATACCCTCACTGTATATATTGAAAATAATATAAATATTATAATTTAATTATGTATACTGAACATAGATATAAAAACTAATTATAAACATAAGAAAATTTAAATATCCTCCTAACTTTTCTTCCTAATTATCCTCCAACTCATATTATGACATGTGGATATCATTAATTCTCTCTTAATCCCATCTCTTTATTCTGACACTTGTCTTCATCTAATGAATAGGAGGATAAGTGGGAAGAAATTGTAGGAGGATATTGATTTCTCTAAATGTAATGATATGATTCAATTTTTGTTATTAAACCCCATTCCATTCCATAAATAGAAAAGATGCATCTATTTATTTCAATAGCAAAAAGGGCATTTTGGTCTTTTAATAGAAACGAATGAAATCGAGCATGAAGAAGTATGTTACCTGAGCCATAATGACCCTCACCAACACCATATCGAGCACAAGCCTACACGAATCAAAGAACAAATATAAGCATTTCATAAATCTCAAAATACAAACAAACAATTATGAAACATAACATTGAATAGGAACAATATAGCTAACCTCAATGTTATAAATACCAATTTTCCCATCAAAAGAAGATGCTGATATGACCCCTGGTAACTTTGGATACCAGTGCACATCAAAATTCCAATTGGTTCCAGCTGGAAGTTCAGACACAATCTGAAAAGTTGAAATACCATTTTAAAATGTTTAGTAAATATTGTCACAAAAATAACTTAACTAAAAAAATAGCTACATACCTCAGCAGAATTAGTGTTCCAACAAATAGTGCGATTATCTTTGGCACATGTAAGCAGATATGAACTATCATGGGGACACCATTCCATTGCAACAACACCTGTTATATCATTTTGTTGTGAATCAGAGATTAAAATAGTATGAGAAAATTATATAGAATATTCAAAGCATAGGCTTCTATTATATTTGGAATTTTCTTTTTGAAACTCAAAGGGACTTGTTGACTTATGGTTGTAGGAAAAGGAGTTTTTAAAAAAAAGTGTTTGGATTAGCTTTTGTGGTGGGAAAAGTCAATAAGTTATTTTTTAAAAGGTGTTTGTTTTAACTTAACATCTTTTAAGGGGTGTTTTACCTTTTACAACCCAAAAAGCTATAAGGAGTTTTGATAAGCTAGAAATCCCAACTTATTGAAATCTCCTTTTTAAAGAGTTGATGAAAAGTTATTTTAACAGTCCTTTTCACATTGCCAAACACTTTTTTTGACTTATTGACTTTTCAAAAAGCCAATAGTCAATAAGTTGTTTTTAAATGAAATCCCAAACACCCTCTAAGGCTTTTTTTTAAAGTGATGTCTTGGATAAATGATGTTTGAGAAAATGAAGGTACACTTGAGGAAGTTGAAGGAAAACATAAATGAAAGCAATTTGTAAAAAGTTAAGACTTAATTGGGGAAGAATCGTTTCCCTGACTTTGTTTTTTAAGTCGTTATTTCTGCATTAAGTAAGAAAGAAAGCAGTATACCTTTAGTATGACCTACTAACTCTCGCAATGGTGACATTGTGTTCCTCATATCCCATAACTGCATGCCAAAAACAAATGTAAATTGCAAGAATTAAGAGCTTAAAATATGAATATGCATAAACGAAAGCATAATTCGTAATCATTACCCTTAGTGAAGGTGAATTATCATCCTCTGAAGCAACAATAAGTTGAGTGGCAAAATCAGGATGCCATTGCAAAACTGAACATCTTCTTCTAACTGAATCTGAGAAGCTGCAAAGTAAAAAATTTATATCAAATTGGTTGGTGGATTTAATTATTTGCAAATTCATTATCTGAATCTGACTGCATAAAATTACCTTATAATTGGCTTTTGCTTCCTGAGGTCCCAGACCACTACAACCACCAAAAAAAAGATTTAAAAAGATGTATTAATATTTGGATAGCTAAAACATATTCAGGTAATTCACATCCATACCAGTTGTTCCATAAAAAGAAGTTGATGCCAAGATAGGCTGGACCTTCTTATTCCATGACAAATATGCTATTTCTCCATGTGTTGAAGATTCACTGCCCTGCAGACACAGGTTAATTAGAATTTAGATGTCAAAACTCAAATGGCTTTTTACAAGTTTGCCCTCAAATATTTCTGACTTGTGCAAAATGAACAATTTAATAGAGAACTCAATGAACTTAATGGTTTCTTCGAGAACAGCAGAATTTGAAGTATGGTTTCTTTATGACTTAATGAACTTAATGGGAATAAAATTTTAATCTGGCAAACAATATATGAATGTAGGGGAAAAGAACGAGGGCCTAGATTTTTTATGATAAACGGATGAGAGGCAAAAATTGAGACCCATAAGAAACTAAAGAGAGGTAAATAGTACTAAACTCAGTTTGCTATGTTGAAAGGCATATAACTAAATACCACCTATACTTGTAATCAGATTTCTACTATTAGTCTATAAGCAAAAGCCCATGGATGGAATGCAGGGGATAAAACAAATTAAGAGAAAAATCCTGGATTTTTTTCTACTTTTTATATACAAGATTGCAGCTCACATATAATAATATTAATAAGAAATTGCCATGGGAAATTTAGATCAAAATTTAGATAATGAAAATGTAGTAAAGCCGTTGTTACCTTAAGGGGAGGAAAATGTGTAGGCTCTGTTGGTTTAGCAAAATCCCATATACAAATTTCACCTTCTTCAGCGCCAGATGCAAGATGGTTTGGTGAAAGGGAACTAAACTCCAGACCACGAACCTGGAAAAACAGATATGATGCACAACCTTTCAATAACGGTTTATTTTAAGTGTCAGTGAATGTTAGATCCCACGAACGAAAAATAAAACTCACAGGCCCTTTGTGTCTTGATAGTTGTTGAACAAGAGCATTTTCCCTTTCCTCCGGACTAGAATCAATGAAAATAAATAATAATGAGGTTTTCATGAAGATAAGAACATAGTATGGCAAATAATATAATAGTTTTGTGGAATTGGGGGAGTGTGTGTTATCCTGTAGGAGCTGAGCTACAAGTAATCGCATCATTCAACATTCTCAATGACATAATAGAAGTTCATACAAACAATTCCCTCGGATTCGGAAGAAAAGAAGCAGAATCTAATGTAAGACTCAACCAAGTTCAGTAAACGACTGCAATCTGACCAGCTACAACGAAGTGCATCGTTAATAGTAGCGTACCTCATGAGTAAGCGAGGGTTCCAGACACCGATGTTGCCATCTACAAGTCCACCGGCAATGAGACCGAGTGAGAATTCTTCTGATCCCGACGACGGTGATTTCCCCCAAGACAGCCGATTAAACGGTTCTGAACTAGGTACAGCACCTGATACCGGAAGGTCACGATCATCAGATCGGAAATCAAGGTTAAGGATTTCAAGATTTGCAGACGAACTGAACGACATGTCTACGGCTCCAGCCATAGTTCCGGCGGCAAGGAAGGGCGCATCGGGGGCAAACGCCACCAATGCCGATCTATCCACTTCCTTTACACACGCCGATGTGCCCATTTTGATTCGACTGCTGATTAATCAAGAGAGTAAGCTCGAGATCTAAAGGGGGATTTTGAGTTTCTAGGGTTAGGCTGTGATCTAAAGGGGATTTTGTATCCGGAGACCCGAATCTGTGGTGCTTGCCGTCTCTCCTGTTTCTTCTGTTTTCTTGGCGTGCGTTTATAACAGTAGCACTACTAACCTTATGTAAATGACGGTTTACCCGTCATTAGCACCAATCACATTTTGCCACGTCTTAACTAAATTTAAACAAAATACTACCTGAACACGACTAAATTCTACTAAACGCATTAGTTAACCATCCTACTATTTTTTTTAAGCAGCAAATAATATAAATAAATAAAAACAAAGAGGGCAAAAGGCAAAAGTAGCAGAAACTACACAAAGGCAAAGTATGAACAAAAGGGAAAATAACAAAACTTAGACAAGCATTAAGAAATATAAAAACTCATATTGCCTTGTATTTGCACCAAGTAAATAGGAGCCTTGTATTTGCACCAAGTAAATAGGAGGGAGATAACATTATCAGCAACATTGGTGTGGTTACAGGTAATTTTTTTTAAACACCTCATCATTCATCGCTCTCCAAACACTCCACATAACGTAAAAGAAAATCACTTCAAGAATTTGTCTTTTTCTGTGACAGTTCCCCCGTGTGGCGGCATAGTTGAGAATCTGTGACACTAAGGTATCGCTGATGTTGGATCCTGCACCATTTAAAAATCCATTTCTACACTGTAACAATATAATCACACATGGCCAAAAGATAATCGACAGTTTCCATTTCTTTATGACACAAAGGGCAGAGAGGTTCCGGGACTTTAATTCCTCTAACCGCAAAGGTATCAGCAACCGAGATCCTACCTAAAGAGGCACTCCAGACGAAACATTTTACCTTCAATGGAATGCTTTTAGACCAACAGATCAAAATACCCTTTGTATGGGATAAGATTATCATCAATTAATCTCCTCATAGCATTAACAGTGTATCCGCCATTAGTGGATTTAGTGAAGCATAAACCAAAAGAAGACAAGGGAAGATTGATCAACTCTCTTATAACATTGTACAACTGCATTAATTTGTGTAGAGAAACCGCATCATTGGGCTCACGTTTCCAGTTCCAAGTGAAACCCTGAGCAGATAGTCGATCCTCCAATCTGCAACATTTAATTGCCTCCCGACTGTAAAGAGATGGAAAACGAACTTAAAACGGGATAGGACTGCATCATTGGTCTTTCCGTAACAGGATTTGAACATTGAAGCCAGGAATAAACTTAAAGATTTCTGATCGATCGATATTTAGAACCTCCAGACTTTTGACAACTGTAGCTATATTACACCATACGCTATTGGAAGATTTACGGGCAATGTAATGAATGGGCTTACAAGAGAGATTGTGCAACCTCATAATTGTAGTCTTCCATAAGCTATCTCTATCATTATCCAGTCTCTACCGCCATTTAGTTAGCAAAGCCAAATTTTGAGTTTTAAGAGTACCAACCCTTAAGCCACCATCTTTTATAGGAGCGATCACTTTAGAACGGTCGGCCCAGTGAATACTTTATTCCCGTCTAATCTTTTCCACCGAATCTAGAACTCCTTGAGGTGCCTTGAATAATGACGTGTAATATGTTGGGAGACTGTTGAGGACTGATTTTATTAGGGTAACGCGCCCCTTGAAGGATATAGACTTTGCTTTCTAAACCGACAATTTGTTTCTGGATTTTTCAAGAATAGGTTTCCAATTTTTCAATAAGGACATATTAGCACTAACAGGTACCCCTAAATAAGTGAAAGGAAACGCTCATTCCCAACAACCCAACACTCTCGTCATACTCTGAACTTCCCTATTAGATACTTCAACTCTGAGAAATCTCGATTTTACCTTTAAGCCGTAAGAGATTTGAAAGCATTTCATAATGCAAGACAGATTCTTGATACTCTAACATCCCGACTCCCAGGTATAATAATTTAATATTTATATTCTTATGAGTTGACTGAGCAACTCGACGAGTTGATGTCCTAACTCGTCGAGTAGAGACAAATTGGCCACATTGGTTTAATGATCAACTCAGTGAGTCGGTATGCCAACTCGGCGAGTTGGTGCTGTGAGTGAAAACCCTAATTTCACGGAGTTGGGTCCTATTTAAAGGACCCTGGGCCCTCATTTCCGCCACCACTTGTCATGTGAGAGCCTGAGAGAAACCCTAAATCTGTCCCATCCATTTTGAAGAGAGTGAGTGGCTATTTTGAGCATTCTTGTGTACTTCTTTGAAGAAGGTAGGATGGAAACGTGAATTGGATCAAAGAAGGGTTGTATATTTGTTGTTTTTCTTGCATCAGCTTCTGTGTGGAGGTATAAAGTTCTCATCTTGTCCATTTCTTTTGGCTAGATCTCATCTTAGGAGTTTTAGGGTTTTTCTCCCATTCTTTTGTGTCTTTTAGTCATTTGAGCATAGTTTGAGGTTGGAAACCTCAGATCTGGACTATAGGAGACTTTGTGAGTCCAAAGACCCGAGTTTTATTGAGCTAGAGACAAGATCTTGTGCAACTAACCTTTGTTAGCGTTTTGATTTGGCATTATTGAGCCAAAATGCCATGCATGAACGTAAAGCTGCAAGCTTTACGTGATATCTGAGCCTTAGGAGGATAGATCCAGAGTATGGAGTAGCATTTCAACCTTAAAGCGTCTGAATGAGAATGTGGACTTAAGGGACTCGACGAGTCGGTTGGGGTTTTCCCTGATGATTCTGGACACGTGGTAACTCGGCGAGTTGAGGAGTCAACTTGGCGAGTTGAGTTGGACTTTCGCGATACTTCTGAGATAAACAGAGGAAGTCGACAAGTCATGTGGGTGCACTCGACGACTTGAGTCAACATGAATAATTGAGTGGAGTGTTAACTTCGGTTGACTTTCAGGGTTTGGTCCTGTCAGGGATTATGTGGACCATAGAGGGGTAAAATAGTCTTTTACCCATTCCATGAGTTGAGAGAATAACTTAGAGTCATGATTTAAGTGTTAATTAGAAATAATTATCTTATGTGTTAGGTGGAGGCTAGGTCGAGATTCGTGTACAAGGTTATTTGCTATCTTGCTTACAAGGAGAGTCTTCTCACTATACTTACCTAGAGTGTTAATCCTTGTGTAACCTGAGGGTCTTATGTGTTTATATTGAGTATTGTGATATCCTACTTTATGTCTTGTGATTCCTTTTATGTAATATTCTAAGCCTGCTGAGTTAGGACTAGAGGGTCCACCCGAGTTATGGGACTGGAGGTTCCCACTAAGACACATTAACCGAAGGGTCTTATTTGATCATTGTCGTGAGAGGCTAACGAGTTATGTGTGGTATTTTAGGGAACTCACTAAGCTTCATGCTTACCATGTTATATGATGTGTTTCAGGTACTTCCGAGGATCGCAGGAAGGCGCCCGCTTGATTGTACACACATGAGTGGAAGATTTGTTTTGGAGGATCCTGGATTATGTTTTTAAAACACCTTATGAACATGTGTTTGATAATTTGATATTTTGGAGTTTTGCAATTATGTTACTAAATTAATGTGATTTTTAAACGAAAAATTTGTTGAGAATTTACGATGTTACAAGTTGGTATCAGAGCCTTGGTTTGAGGGTTTCAGATGTACCTTCGGGTGTGTCTGGACTTAGACCGAGGATTTGAGAAAGATTTTCAAAAAGAAATGATTTTTCTAAAATGAGAAGGAGTTTTAAGAGAAAACGACTGGAGCAGTGCGTACAATCAGCCAGAGCCCGACGGTGATTTCCCAAAATACCCTCACTTATTTGTATTATGAGATATTTATGATATGTTAGAGATGCATGTTGGAGGATAGGCTATGTATTTCATATTTTAGGGCTAGAGTTGCCTACTTTGTGATGCATTAGCCTAGGTTTTGTTGCTAAGTGTTATTTACCCTAAGTATGTGTTAAGTATGAGTATCTAGTAGGAGTTCTTATAGAGAAATTGAGACGAAGGGCAATTTAGGAGAGATATCTAGATGAGTATATGGGGAGACTAATGAGAGGGTAGTTGGATGTTTGTGAAATGCAGGATACTTGTGAATTGGAATCCTAGGAGGAGGGATTGGGGTGACTACAGGGTGGTGTGGAAGGTAGTATTGGGCTCGTACTACTGAAAGCATCAGATCTTTATGCAACTCAAGCACGAATCCTTAGGGTACTAAGGAGCATGTAGGAGCGGGAAATCAAGTGTAAGTATACTCAAACGAGTCTCTGATGATTTTTGTGTTGTGTTTCAGAGGCATTATGGTGGTTACTCACCACAACTCCGGGGGCAGTGGTACCGATGATGAGGAGATTCGATGATTCATGAGGAGGTAGTCGCACGCATTTGTGAGGCGATACCATAGATGTTTGGGTCTATTAAGACCACACTAATTGAGACATTTGATGAGAGGTATGTTGATGTTACTGAGGTTGTTGCTGCCGCAGCCACAACAGTCATAACCGCTACTAAGCCACAGGGAGGTGACTCATTGTTGTACCGAGAGTTTAGCAACACGAAGCCACCAGAGTTTGATGGGACTCAGGACCCGATTGTTGTTATGAGATGGATCTCTGACATTGAGGGGTGTTTTACACATGTTCATGCCCCGAGCACCTGAGGGTTCGGTTTGCACTGAACCAGCTTCGCTTGGGAGAGAAGCACTGGTGGAAGTTCATGACAGCCAACTTTACTCCTGCAGAGCATGTTGTAGTGGCATGGGAGAGGTTTACGCAATTATTCAGATATGAGTATGTTCTCCAGGTGGAGAGGGAACGACTAGCCCAAGAGTTTCTTTCTCTTAAACCGAAGACAGAGTCAGTGACAGATATTACGAGGATGTTTCATGAGAGGGCGTTGTTCTGCCATGAGCACGTGTCTACTGAGCAGGCACGTATGAGCTAGTATTTAAGCATTATGAGGAGGGACATTCGAGAGTTTGTGGCGAACTTTTCTTATCGGACATTTATTGAGTTGCAAGCAAATGCCAGGAGGAGGGAGATTGAATTGGAGACGCATGCCAAGGAGGATTTGGAGTCTCAGGGGAGAGATAGGATACAAGTGCAGTTGTAGCTGGCTACTAAGCAGGCTAAGCCCGCTGACTCGAGAGTTGGGGGCCAGAAGGGCCGCACTTGTAGTAAGTGCGGCAAGAGTCATGAGGGATCTTGTCGGACAGGGATTTACTACAAATGTGGCAAGGAGGGGCATATGACGAAGGACTTCCCCAAGGTATTTTCA